GTGATTTTGTCAATTTTTAACTGTTTTAAATGTAATTCCAGTGCTTTTGGAATAGCACCCAGTGTGCCAATTACCACTGGAATTATAACTGCTGGTTTGTGCCATAAATTATTATTATTATTATCATTATTATTATATACTTTATTCATTAAACGTGAAACTCAGGCAACTGAACATTTAAATATATATCACAAATATCATGAACTGATTATATCATTATTATTATTTATTACACTCATTTTTTATCCTACATTTATGACTTCGTAAGTCATTCAAGGCAGAGGGCAATACTTAATGCTCCTTCCTCCTCCTCCTGTTTTCTCCACAACACCCACCCTGTGAGGTGGGCTGGGCTGAGAGAGAGGGGGAAGGACTGGCTCAAAGTCACCCAGCTGGCTTTCATGCGTAAGGCAGGACTAGAACTCACCATCTCCTGGTGATTGGCTCAGAGTCACCCTGGTGGCTTTCATGGCTAAGGCTAGAACTCTCCATTGCCTGGCGATTGGTCCAAAGTCATCCAGCCAACTTTCATGCCTTAGGCAAGATTAGAACTCACCGTCTCCTGGTTTAAGCTTGGGGGGGGGGGTCTTACCATTAGACCAAACTGGCTCTCTTGAACCCCCCCCCCCATAGGAGAGCTGTCCGTTTCATTCTGAGTTGGGGGGCTATAAAAGGGACTCTTGTAGCTCAGGGTTGAAATGAGGGGTCCTTGGTGCTCTCTGAGTTCAGCTGTTTCCTTGCAAATCTTTCATTACCCAACATCAGCAATGCTGAAGTGGATGTGGGGTTTTTTTTGCAGACGTTTCGTCACCAAACTAGGTAACCTCATCAGCGCCAGAAGGGAGTGGGGTGTGTGGAGAACAGGAGGAGGATTGTGGCGTCCTTGGTGCTTCTTTCCTTGCAAACTTTCCATTACCCAACCTCGGCCATGCTTTTTTTCCTGGGTGCCTTCTCAATTCGCAAAGCTGCAGATTTTTCCTTTTAACCCTCTTAAAACCGGGCGCTCTCTTCTCTCTTGCAGTTCGCTGATGAAATGGAGCCGGGGGCGACTTCTTTCCGCGTCGAATTCCCTGATTTCTGCAACACCGTCCTGCAGAAGCTCAACCAGCAGCGCCAGCAAGGCCAGCTCTGCGATGTCTCCATTGTGGTCCAGGGTCATCTCTTCCGAGCCCACAAAGCCGTCCTGGCCGCCAGCTCCCCTTACTTTTGCGATCAGGTGCTCCTGAAGAATAGCCGGCGGATTGTCCTTCCCGATGTCATGAACCCCAGGGTCTTTGAGAACATCCTCCTCTCGACTTACACGGGCCGGCTCGTCATGCCCGCTCCAGAAATCGTTAGCTACTTGACGGCAGCTAGTTTCCTCCAGATGTGGCACGTGGTGGACAAATGCACGGAGGTGTTGGAAGGAAACCCTTCGGTCCTTTGCCAGAAGCTGAACCGGAGCAGCGACCACCAGTCTCCCAGCAGTAGTAACTACAATGGCCTGGTGGAAAGCTTTGAGCTGGGTGCAGCAGGCCACTCGGATTTCCACAAAGCGCAGGAACTGCGGGACGGGGAAAATGAAGAGGAGAGCTCCAAGGATGAGCTGTTGTCCCAACTGACCGAGCACGAATACCTGCCTAGCAATTCCTCGACGGAACATGACCGCTTGAGCACCGGGATGACTAGCCAGGACGGAGAAGAAGGGGTCAGCGACAGTACTGATTACCAGTACGCCCGGCCTCATTACAGCAAGCCCAGCATTATGTCTCACAAACGGTGGATCCACGTCAAAACGGAGAGGTTCGTCCAAGATTGCGAAGGAGTGGAGATGCACGGCGCCTACGATGAGCATCAGGTCTCCGAGTCGGTGAACGCCGTGCAGCGAGACCACCCTGTTGAGACCAGCATTGTGGAAGATCTCCGGGTCAACGACAGGAAGGTGGAAATGGAGTTTGGAAACCCGGCCAACGAAGGCAGCTACGACGAGCAAGTGGACTTCTACGGCTCTTCCATGGAAGAGTTCTCCGGGGAAAAGAACGACGGGACGCTAAGCCTCCAGAGACCGGAGGCTTCGGGTTACGGGGAAAGCTTAGATCTTCCCTCGGGGATCAAGGAAGAAAACGCCCTTGCTGGCTTTTCGACCACCGACAAACTTTACCCTTGCCAATGCGGCAAGAGCTTTACCCACAAGAGCCAGCGGGACCGTCACATGGGCATGCACCTCGGACTCCGGCCGTACGGCTGCGGCGTGTGCGGGAAGAAATTCAAAATGAAGCACCACTTGGTGGGCCACATGAAAATCCACACCGGCATCAAGCCGTACGAGTGCAACATTTGCGGGAAAAGGTTCATGTGGAGGGACAGCTTCCACCGGCATGTCACCTCCTGCACCAAATCTTACCAGGCCTGCAAAATGGAACAGAATGCTGCTAAAATGAACTAGAAGCGGACGGATGGACGGGGTGGGACGGACGGTTTAATCGGATGAGCGATTGTGTCGTGCCGCCTTGATCCGAACACGGCTTATTTTGACCAAGCGGGACGGCCGGTGTCTCCTGTGGCTTCGTTCCCGAGGCCTTGCTGCTTTTCGAGGTGGCGGGGTTCCAAATAAACTCTGGGGCCAGCCCAGTCCCCTCTCTTAAGGTGCCCCTCCCCTGAGGCTGCAAAACAGACCAGCAAGTTGGCATAACGGTACTTTCTAACCTATTTAACAATTACCGCTATTTTATCCGTGCTTTGGGTTCTCTCCAAAAGGAAGGTCCAGAGTGCTTTTTGCTTTGAACTCCTCTCAAGGGAATGTCGCTCAACATTTTAAGGGTTCAGCGGGAACGTAGGTGAGATGGGGCTCCCGGCGAGGTGGCGGTTTCCGTTGGTGGCGCTCCCCGGTTAGCGGCCCTTGAATTTAAGCTGGTAATGTAGAGGTTTGGGGCACTTGCTTGCTGAGAACCAAAGGGTGAGTGAGTGGCTTCATTTTTCTCCCAATGCACATTGCTAGATAATTTTCAACTGCGAGACTATTATCATCATCATCAAATTATTATTAATATTATCATTATCATCAAATTTATTTGCTGCCCATCTGGTGGTTCTAGGAGACTCTGAGCCAGAGGAAGACGTTCTGCCCAACTTCCCAGTTTCAAGATCTGTCCAGTTTTATGAGTTGCATTGACTGGTGGCCCTTGTGTGTCTTTTTTTTTTTTAATGTGATATGTGGCGACGAACACTTTAAACCCTCACTTTCTCGCCCTCCCCTCGTGCCTCACGCCATAGTCAATCAAACCAGCCTCTTCTTTTGACTGGGCATTTCTGTGTGTTCCCCCAGCGGTGCCCCTCCCTCAGCGCAGATGCCGGGTTTTTTGAGTCTATATTTTTAACAGTCTGCTCTAAAACCAGAAAGCAAATCACCTTGCTTCCTGGGGGTGGGGTTGCAGATGTGTTCGCAGTAGCCTCTGCATTAGCTTTATTAGCAGCCAGGCTACAAAACCCGTTTCAAACTCCACTTGGTCAGAAAATAAATAGCATCCTTAAAGCTATGCCCATATTCGGGGAGTTTCTAAATCGGATGCTTCTCCTCCAGAGTGGATGTGTTTTTGTTTTTTTTAAAGCTGCAGATTAATTTCGTAATCCAGAAGGGGTTCCAGATCATTAATAAATAACCGAGATTCTTCCTCACCCCCAATCATCGTTCAGGAGGGAGGCGGGTTAAAACGGCCAACACATTTGTGTTCCTCCCCATCTGTGCCTTCCCTTGGCAGAATCCCTGTCCTGTAGTCTTAATCCAAGTTTCCACCTGTAAACCTTGGAGAGAGAAAAAAAAAAAGGTTAATCTGCAATCCTTGTTCAGGTAGGGTGTTTCTCAACCTTTTTAAGATGTGTGTGTGGGGGGACTTCAACTCCCAGGATTCTTGTCGGCTGGGGAATGCTGGGAGTTGAAGTCCATTCATGTTAGCATGCAGACTAACAGAGTGAAAAGACTTCCAAGGTTCAGAGATCACGACCTAGATCAGTGAGGGTCAACTGTTTTCGGCACTGAGTGGCGAAACTGGAACGCACATGGGTGTGTGACATAGCAACAGAAACCCGCCTAATAGCATGCCTATTTTTTAACCGTTTGGGGCCGTTTTCCAGGTTTCTGAAGACCAGCTGGCTTTGACTTGGTCTAAGGGGTGGCACTGCAACCTAAGCGTCTCCCTTAGTTAAATATGCCCCCCCCTCCTGTGTTAAATACGTTAAAACCTACCAAGTGTTGAGGTCCCTTGGTCTTTCCTCCCCTCTCCCCTTTCAATGTCTCCACTAAGGCACTTCTTCCGCTAACCACAGGCACTTAAACGGCCCACATCAAGTGCTGACCACGGATTCATCCCGCACCTTTCGCCAAAAATGGCTGCCACTTGACTTGAACCCCCGGCGAACACGTTAACTCCGCAGGGAACTTTTTTTGCCAACACTGTAACTTGCTAATGTACAGAAGCACTTTGTATTTAAAGCAAAAAAACAACAAAAAAGTATAATATTTTTTAGAACGTTGTATATAGACAAGCATATCTATATATAGGTATATATAGTTATATATAGATATATAGATATATTCATATTCCCTCTGGTTTAATTTCTAATTCACGTCGTTCGGTCTGGTTTTTCTCGTTTCTCGTTTGAAATTTTATAAGGATGAGAAGTTTTTTGTTTACATACGGGTGGGTTTTGGGGGGTTTTTTGGGAGGGGGGAAGGAAAAGTAAGATCCTAAGGATCTGGTTTTTAAATTTTTGTTTCCAAAATCAAACTGAAGCAAAAAAAAAAAAAAAAGTCACTGCCTTAGAATGTTCTAGGAAGCCTTTTCTCTAATCTCCCAAAATCTCCAGGATAGATGATAGATAGATAGATAGATAGATAGATAGATAGATAGATAGATAGATA